TGGCAAAAAACGTACCATTTTGCATTGGGGAAGTGTCAAAAAATGTGGCAAAATGCTTCCCTCTCCAAGTGAAAAAACGCCGATTTTAAAAGCGCGCTCACTATTTTTTTTGAGGGCTCTTTAAAACAGAGTTTTTCATAATAGGAAAGGGAGGCATTTTGCCACATTTTTGATACTTCCTGGATGCAAAATGGTACGTTTTTTGCCACTAGATCAGGTCCGTCACAATAGCAAGAAATCTATGAAAAAGCTTTGAGTTTCTGCCAATTTCCGACTATTAGCCAGAGGGACCCTTAAAAACGTAGTTTTTCACTTGGAGAGGGACGCATTTTGCCACATTTTTGATACTTCCCGGATGCAAAATGGTACGTTTTTTTGCCACTGGATCAAGTCCCCCACTGTATGTATTATAGTATTACAATTTTGGCACCTGGCGCAGCCTGGGGTGGTAGTCCTCTCCCTCCCAGGCTCACCTACGCACCAGCCTACTAGTCGTTCCAGAAAGTGCGTAGACTTTTTTTCGTGTGCCCTACCGCACAAAAAACCCATTTTTGCGACGTACGTCAAACTGAGATAAGCTAAAACAGTCCGGTGAATGGATTGGTAATTTGCCAAAAAAAGACGCGAAAAAACGTTTTGTCGGTGGAGAAATGGGGAATTTTTGGGGCGAGAGAGTACGTTTTTGTGTGTCTTTTTTCTCTCTTTCTCTGCGAAATAGACGAAGTGTAAAAAACCGATAGCGAAGAGTCTATTCCGGTCACCGGACTCCTCAGTTTGACGTGCGACGTGCATTTGATTTTCTGCACCGTGCAAGTGCATTATCGCAGCGACTCAAGCTTTTCTCAACGGGCAGGCGAGAATTTTGGGCGCGCAAAAGAAATTGCATGAGGCAAAATTTTTCGAAACGGATCGCGTCGCGCAACATACATTGTGAGGTGCAAAAAAAGCCAAAAAAAGTCTACCCACTTTATGGAACGACTAGTACAACAACAAGTCCAAAAACTGTAGGTTTAAATGGTACCGTCCACATAAACAGCCGGTGCGGAATGCCGACGTTAAAATTCAAATCAGCTCAAAAGGGAAGTGTTCCAGGCGTGATGCGAATGTCATCTTCAGGAATTGTTGTGGCGAGCAGACATGGTAATCGGACCGGACTTTTTGAACCTGTGGGTTCAAAGCCGGGCCAAATAGAAAGTAGAGCTGACCTTTTTTTCATGTGCAAGCTCACTTTTTGGGCCGGATTCACTGTGCAAAATGTTTTTACAAATGCATGCACAGTACAGAGAAGCAGAAAAATCCAAGGACTTAAAAATGGTAAAAGGAGACCAAGGTAATTTTTGTGGGCCGAGATTTTTGTTGGGTACAAAAAGGTCCGCTGGAAAAAGGGTCCGCTGAAAAAAGGGTCCGCTGAAAAAAGGTCCGCTGAAAAAAGGTCCGCTGAAAAAAAGGTCCGCTGAAAAAGGTTCGCTTTAAAAAGGGTCCGCAAAAAAAGGTCCGCAAAAAAGATAGTTGATCATAATTAATTCGAAAATAGATTTTGAGAGAGCAACAAAACTAACAAGAAAAATGCATTTCTTTATCACTAGGTGAAGCCGTGGTAATTTGAGAAAGTAACCGAAACAGATAAAACTCCGTAAAAATAGATTTTCGACGTCAGAATGGTCAACTCTCCTTTTCCGGCGGACATTTTCGGCACTCGACTTTTGGGCTATAACTGGCCATTTTACGCGAAAAACATTACGTGCACGTAACATGATTACGATGAAACACACATCATCCGTAACCTTGTCCTTGCTGTCCCATCAATTACATGACGAATGAAGTGGATAAGCGAATGTCATCAACTATGAATATTTCATAATTGTTTGTACAATGGAAGTAATTTTCTGTGACATTTCACCGATTCTCAAATGTAATCCTAATTTAAAAACAGGCTTAATTCCGGATGATTTCATCAAAATCCTAAATTTAGCCGCTCGCAACATAAACCCAACCCGTTTACGTAAACGAAAACAAATCAATTTGATGGCCCAAAACACAACTCAATTAAAAAACGTCCCAAAACTGTCTAAATTGGCCCCGGCGCACTGCGGAACGGCCTTAATTGAAGTTCGAACTTTGAGCACAAAGAATGAGAATGCCCGAGGCACGTTTATTTTCGTGGGAGCAAAAAAACGAACCCAACGTGGAAAAACAAAACGGGATTTACTCGGGGTTTTATTGAAGAGGTATGAGGACATGTTGGCCCTCTGGCAAAGGGATTTATTTCAATTTTTTTGGACAGGTAGAAAAGAAGAAGAGAAAGTGGGGGACCTGATCCAATAGCAAAAAAGGAGCATTTTGCATCCGGGAGGTATCAAAAATGTGGCAAAATGCTTCCCTCTCCAAATGAAAAAACTTCGTTTTGAAGGGCGCGCCAGGGAAAGCCCTCACACAAAGACGGGCTGCGTTTTTGAAATTCGAGTTTTTCACTTGGAGAGGGAAGTATTCTGCCACATTTTTGATACTTTCCGGATGTAAAATGCACTGTATGTGCCGCAATTTTAATACTAGGCGGACCAGAAAGTCTTAACATATTTTTGCAAAGTGGCGGCTTTGCGCGACAAACAATCAGCACGGTACGAATGAAAAATGCACTGTGCAGTTTCAACCTAGACCTGGCCCGACGGTCGGTACAGCCGAAAATCGCAGCCTGGTCCGTTCCACTTTGTTTAGCGTTACCCATCTTTTGGGACCTTTACCTTTCATGGAAGGTGTTACAATCGCAACGCTTAAAATTTGGACACATGCCAAGCACACCGTTTTCCAGCATTTCCTGACAAGTTAAGATTGCGCTTTGTAGGCGAATTTTATTTAACAATCCGTGTGAGGAACACGCGAAAAGCGGTCTTGCGAAGAAAAATTGCAAAATTTTTTAAATTGAAATTCCCAAAAAAACAATTTCAAGGTTCTCCGGTTTTTGGCCACCTTACTACTTATAGCTACTTACGGTCTCTGCTGCTTACTCCTTGCCTCATTAAGTTTCAATTCCAGTATAGCGCATTATCCCCGGAGAGCTCAACGCGTCTACAAAACACCAACTATTCACCCATATGGCCTTGCAGCGGCGCCGACAAAGGAAAAACAAAAACGTACTGTGCAAAGCTCTACAGACTTTATGGTGCGACGTATTCAAGTCCAAAAAAGTTCGCTCCTCCCCAAATTCCTGCATGCCTTGCGAGTCAAAATTCGCGACGACTTGCACTTGTTGCGGTTTCGCTGGCTGAATGTCTAATCGGGGAAAAATGAGCTTACTACGTCTACATACGCAATTTCGCGGATAAAGTCGGGTCACTCATATTATGGCGAGGAATTAATTGGGATGATCTAAATTTACGACTTTGGAAGTGAGATGATGACATAGATAGGTCTAAAAATATGCCTGCAGGAGAAGTATTTACCACAGAGTGCGACTGAATTCAAAGCCGCGATAAATTCTTTGGACCTTTTGTGCTAATGATAAGTAAATGCTCTGTACATGCTTACGCCCTTCCCTTATAAGTCATCATGCACTTTAACGCTATGCCCATGCGATTAGACGGCTCTTTAGACAATGCGAAGCTAATGACCAGCGGTTCATCTCGCTACTTTATGATAATCCAAAGAAGGGTAAGTCCAAAGCCCTCTAAAGCCGATGCCCTTATCTTCAAACAAAGAAATTTCATTTCGAAAAGTGCACGTGGCTTTATTGTGTGAAGCTCTACATATATATGGCTAGATGCATCGTCAAGGGGTTTTCAAATTTTTACTGTCATGAAAATAAATACTATAAGGTTATTATCAGTCTGTCGGGAAAATGCTACAGTGAGGGACCTGATCGAGTGGCAAAAAACGCCCCATTTCGAATCCAGGAAGTATAAAAAAATGTAGCAAAATGCCTCCCTCTCCAAGTGAAAAAACTTTGTTTTGAGAGGACTCTTAGAAAAAGAGCGGGTGCGCTTTTGAAATCGGATTTTTTGGCTTAGAGACGGGAGGTATTTTGCGACAATTTGGTTCCTTCCTGGATGCAAAATGTGGCGTTTTTTGCCACTGGATCAGGTTCCTCCCTCAATGTATTATAGTAAACACGCTGCGAAAATCGCATCGCCGCAGAGAGAATGAATTTCCGCGAAAGATTCATACACTGCTCGACAAAATTATAAATGCACCTTTAAAATCGCTGTAACTTTTGTGGTTGTCAATAAAACTGTGCCATATTTGGCTCCAATATGTATTAGTGTACTATAAATCTTGTACCAAAAAATCATTTTGGAAAGTTTCCACAATTTGGAAAAAAGTTGAAAAAACCGAAATTTTTGTGATTTTCTTTGTGACAAAATTATAAATTCGCGCAATGTTTTGCAATTTTCTTGCCGCTGGTGCTGAAGCAAAGTAATTTATTGGGCTTGGTGGTATTCTTAGGGGTCCTTCTGTCATGCTACGAGGAAAAAACGGTGGTAAAATTTGTGAAGGGCGGAATTACGGCTCTGAAACGGCAAGGACCTTAAGTTTCGCAGATTTCGGCGCAGGCAGGCCATTCAGCCGGAGTTGTGAAGAACTACTCGACTCACTCGGAAGTCTTCAACACATCTTCACCATCTCTGGGTCCCACATAGAGCAGGAAACAGGTGTCAATTGTAGCAGCATAGCTATGCTGAGAGCCCTAAGACACAGCGATGTTGTTACTGGACGTCATATGAAATCATGCCCCAAGCTGGCCTAGGTTCGGTTAGCGCGCGACCAAAATTAGCCAAGGTTACTTTGACAAGACAGGTCCTCCAACATTACGGCACGAGAAGTAACGCGGTTCTCTTCTGATGTAATGACGGTAATATGTGCCATGTGTGAAAGCGTCGAGGACATCGTCTGACCATGCAATCTCGAAGGAATTCGGTACTGCAACGATGATAAACCGACCCTTGACTACTCAAACAGTTTTGTCAAAGTAACCTTGGCCAATTTTGGTCGCGCGCTAACCGAACCTAGGCCAGCTTGGGGCACGATTTCATATGGCGTCCAGTGATGACATCGCTGTGTCTTAGGGCCCTCAGCATAGCTATGCTGCAACAATTGAGACCTGTTTCCTGCTCTATATGGGACCCAGAGATGGTGGAGATGGAAGTTCGGCGGAATTCTTTGCCTTGACTTTGCCGCGGTGGTAAACCTTTTTTGCCAGAACGTTTAGATGTGTTGAAGACTTCCGAGTGAGTCGAGTAGTTCTTCACAACTCCGGCTGAATGGCCTGCCTGCGCCGAAATCTGCGAAACTTAAGGTCCTTGCCGTTTCAGAGCCGTAATTCCGCCCTTCACAAATTTTACCACCGTTTTTTCCTCGTAGCATGACAGAAGGACCCCTAAGAATACCACCAAGCCCAATAAATTACTTTGCTTCAGCACCAGCGGCAAGAAAATTGCAAAACATTGCGCGAATTTATAATTTTGTCGCAAAGAAAATCACAAAAATTTCGGTTTTTTCAACTTTTTTCCAAATTGTGGAAACTTTCCAAAATGATTTTTTGGTACAAGATTTATAGTACACTAATACATATTGGAGCCAAATATGGCACAGTTTTATTGACAACCACAAAAGTTACAGCGATTTTAAAGGTGCATTTATAATTTTGGCGAGCAGTGTATTGCTTTTCACTTCAGCGACGTCACGCAGAGACCTTGTGCTCATAATTTTCCCGACCGATTGGTAGAATATTGGTTAGAATGTCGACGTGATAGCTTAATCAAAAAGCAGCAGTTTACCATTAAAAAAATGGAGGCAACTTTTCGAAAATTCAGCAAAAAAGCTTGTTGAATATCTTGGTTGTACATAAAAATCGCGAGCTGAAAATTTCAATTTTTTCAGGAGCTCATATGTGGCATAGGCCCGAAGGACGTGCAAAAATTTAAAGAAATTCCAAGCGCCACACTTCGGATCCTCCGGTCCTATACTGGTCCGTTTGCAAAGTCATTGAAGTTACTTTTGCGACATGCATGGCGCGAAAACAAAAGTTCACTTTGCACTATGCAACATGTGTTTGCCCGGCAAAAAACTCTCAAGCGTAGTGCAGCTCCCTCGGCGATAGAGCTCGACAACCAAGCGTGTTTTTTTTTTGAGTCAAAACAAAATTATCGTAGCCGTCAGTCAAAGGGAAAACATCCCTTTAGCCGGAGTTTCACGCAAACCACTGGAGACACAGCTCCCCGCCATTTACTCACCATATTGGCCTATTAACAAAGGTGTTCCGAGCATATCGGAAAGGAATAAAAATTCCACCGAGTGCACTCGGAAATGTGTGGATGTAATTCCCGAGCAAATCGAACCCACATGTGGTTAACTACCTGCGACGGTTAATGGTATTGGTCGGAGCAAACTAGAATGAAGCCAAGTGTTCTGGGGCCACACTGCGGGTCGGGTCAAGTTTTTCCCGTGGGTTGGACAAGTCTTCCTTCCAAAATTATTGTTTTATTGACCTGTAGGGAATTTTATCGGGGATTAATGAGGGTGGTATCAAAAAAAGAACATTGTTTTTCTATGGTTGGAGTCACGTAAAATTACAGAAATTACTTGTGTTTTAAGATCGAAAAAAAGACGAATTTTGAGGGAAACACTTGACCAGTCATGGGAAGAACTTGATCCTGGCATAAGCCATCTTTCAATTCGAACGAATTTTATCTTACGGCGCTATACAACAATGAAGAACAACGGTTCCGTAATAAAGCCAAATACGTGCTCCGCTTACCACACAGCAGAAACCCACTCGCGCAACGGTTTTCCCAAGACCCCCTGGGAATCAGCAATGTACCACGAGTAGGCGTCGACCAGAACGAAGATACCAACATCGCCATACACCACGAACAAACGATGAGTGAAATGGATGACCACCTCAGTCAAGCCCTGAACGCGGAGCAAGCCTCGAAAACGGAAATGGACGAGTTTCTCCATTCCTTCCACATGACGTTCCAATTTTGCGGTGAGACTACGCCAAAGGTCTAAAGAGCGAACTAGAGGCAACGCTATGAATTTTGACCGGTCGCTTTTCGAACACTTCCCCTGTCAATACTAGTCCTTCCGGAAAGTCGCCGGACGGAAATCGGCGACATGCACTGTGAGAAAAAACTCAGAGTGCGAGCGACAGCTCGAAAAAGCTTATTGCACAGTGCAAAAAGCCAAAAATTGCACAGTGCAAAGTGAACTTTCGATTTCGCAGAGTGAATGTCGCCGATTTCCGTCCGGCGACTTTCCGGAAGGACTAGTATCTTTGCAACGCCTGCGAACTACTTTGCGGCTTCAAAAATCTCTTTGATTCCATTTATCAGTCTGTCGGGAAAATAACGGCGGATCGTCGCAGCAAAATGTCTCGCCTCGCCGCTATCGCGCACCAAATCCCAATCAGCGGCTTGCAGTCGCAAAGCGATGATGTGCGATTCCAAAGCGCGACGACCCGCCGTTATTTTCCCGACAGACTGATATAGCAGGCAAAAAACTAAAGGGAAGCCAAATACATAGTCCGTACCATAAGATTCCTCATCTATTCGCTTCCAGAATTACTTGACATTTCGCGCTCACCCAGTCCTGCTGATAAAAATTATCGTCTTGCAAGAGTCAACTAATCCCTAAACAAATAACTACTGTCAATCGTAGCAGAAGAATTAATCTCTTGACGCCATCCTCGTCATTGTGTAATGTGTGTACTATGCGTATAAATATAGTCATGGGAATTTGTTTCTGGCCAACTCTATCCCGGAGTAAACACTGTGGAAAAAAGTTTCTCTTCAAGGACTTCCGTCGGTAAAATAATGGGGATTTGTCACGCCTTCGTCTCGCCAAATCCTCAAACAAATCTCTTGTTGGAGATTTGGTGAGTGACTGCTACAAACCATATCATATTGTTGCGACAAATCCACATTATTTTCCCGACAGACTGATAAAAACTACTCTTAGTCAATAGGGAAAATAATGTGGGTTTGACGCGGCTTGGAAGGATAGTTTACTTTGCTGCGACAAAATCCACATTATTTTCCCGACAGATTGATAAAAACCACTCTCAGTCTGTAGGGAAAATAATGTGGATTCGACGCGGCTTGGAAGAATAGTTCTTTGCTGCGACAATCCACATTATTTTCCCGACAGACTGATAAAAACCACTCTTAGTCAATAGGGAAAATAATGTGGATTCGACGCGGCTTGGAAGAATAGTTCGTTTTGCTGCGACAAATCCACATTATTTTCCCGACAGACTGATAGAACAAAAAAATTTGGTAGCGTAAGAAAAGGTTTTTTCGCAAACGGAAAAAACAAAATTTACTTTTCGCCCGCGTCTATCAGACAATTGGATTTGCAGCCATCAGCACGGATTTCCCTTGTCTTGCTCTTAAGTCCAATTGTTCGGGAACCCATTATGATGCGTTTATGACATTGGTCTGAGAAATTCAATAAAACCACAGGGAATGGGACAGATTCGAAAATTGGCTGGCCACAGGGCAAACATGGAAATTTTTGAGGAAAGTACGGGTCTTGGAAAGTCAACTGCATGTAGTTCATTTTGGAAGCGGGAAAAATTCCAAGGACATTCGGAAAACACACTATTTTCCCGACAAACTTGTACAAGTCTGTGGGGAAAATAATGTCTTCCACAATCCGAGAAATTGTTCGAAAATGACTTTATCAGTCTGTCGGGAAAATAGTATTGATTTTTCGAGCCTTGGAATCTCTCATCATGGCTTTGCGACAGCTGAAGATTTGGTACGCGACTGCGACGAGGCGAGACATTTTGCTGCGGAAAATCCACATTATTTTCCCGACAGACTCATAACCAAGATCGTATGTTTCTCCAGTGCCATAAACTTCTCTTACAAAGCTATGCCAATATCAGTCCGCGACGACTCACATTATTTTCCCGACAGACCGATATTCGTGCACAAATGGCGTCAAGAATACAAAAAAAAAATCTCGTTCCATTCTGCCCAAAGAACGCTTCACATGTTTCGACCACTCGCTGTTTCCTCCAAATGAAGACGAATGAGCCCCGAGTCCGCAATCTCTTAATGACCGGAACAAAGAGAGAAAAAAAGGTAGCAGGACAAGCCTAATGAAGGAATTGGCCAGTAATTCGGAATGGATGGCGCTTATAAAAAAAATACTTGAACCGGAAGAGAAATTGTTTTGACGAAGAAAAAGATGACTTATAATGTCCTTGAAGGGCAAGCGGAACGGACACGTTCGAGTCTGGGGATTGTGTCCGCATATTAGAGAAGCAGATATATAGAAAAGCGCAAGAGTAAAGTACTCTCATCGGAATGAAGGCACAACATTATCAGCTGCTCTTCAGACGCTACATCAAAAATTTGCTAAAATTAGTCGATTTTGCGCAATTTTTACAGAGCGCGGTGCATGGATTCGGCATTGCGATGAAGTGTTGCATGATAAAAATTCGGCAGTGTGCGAAAAAAGAGCGAACTGTCCGTTGATTGCTATGGGTTTGTCGAGAAAATTATGGCGGGTCGTCGCAGCAAAATATCTCTCCGCTATCGCGCACCAAATCCCCAGCTTCGGCAGCCGTCGCAAAGCGATGATGGGCGATTCCGAGGCGCGGCGATCCGCCGTTATTTTCCCGAGAGACTGATGTTTACAAAACAATTTTTTTGCACTGTGCGGGGCCGCAGTGCACTCAGAATTTAAATTGTCGCTGCGCGGCACATTTTATGCATAGCGGGGCACTGTGCAGACATGTCAAGACTTTTTGACCCGTCTACAGTGGCAGAACTACTCCAGCGGCAGAAAACCTACCATTTTGCATTCCGGATGTATCAAAAATGTGGCAAAATGCCTCCCTCTGTAATAGAAAAAACCCGTTTTAGAGGGCCCGCCTTTTCCCTCACAAAAAGAGCGGGTGGGCTTTTAAAATCGGAGTTTTTTCACTTGGAGAGGGAGGTATTTTGCCATACTTTTGATACTTCCCGGATACAAAGTGTTACGCTTTTTGCCACTGCATCAGCCACTGTATTACAATTTCCCAGTTTCTCAAGCCCACAGCTCTATGTTTGCCGCAAAAATCAAGGTGTCGCCCCGTAACCTATTGTGGATTATGGCATGAACAGTTTCATGCCTCTCTATCGTGACTCTCGCGGGCAAAGATCGTGGAATATCTCGGCTTCCTTTGCAAAGCGCAAGCTACGATTTTCAGGATTTGGTATGTGGTATATGTCCAAACGGTATGCAAAATTGAAAGAAAATTTGAGCGTTCCACTAGGGTCACTTCCATTCTAATTGTAAGCAAACCAGACAAAAAAAAGAGAGTTTCAAGTTATCAGTTTGTCGAGAAAATAATGAGCCCTCTGTCGCATCAAAATCGCATCGCCGCCGAGAAAATGAATTGTGTCGCGGCAAGTTCAAGTTGCTTTTTTCTTTAGCAACGCGGTCGGCGAAGCGAGATTTTGCTCATAATTTTCCCGACGGGCTGATGCCGAGCCTCTATTCAGCCAACGCCTCCTCTAGTGGCTCGAATTGCCTTCTGACCATTCTTTTGCAAACTTTGACCTTGCAATTTAACCACGAGTCGAAAAACGAAGCCTTCCACCCTCAGCCCTCCTACAGTAACAGCGTCGGATATCATTCTTCAACTACAAATTCCGCAGCAAATTCAGCAATTCTAATTGCTGGATCTAAAAGTAGAGAGCGCTTTTCTTCAAGTTGCATCTCATGTAACGAGCTAGCATATGCTTGAAAAGTTGCTGGACGTATACCACGAAGCCCACCGTAGACTGGGCAAACATGCTAAAGATGGCGAGACGAAAAGTCACGGAATAATGACACCAAGAACTTCCGTCGCATTTCCGAACCTCCCGCCACGAGAATCGGAAGTGCACTCCACTCGAATTCGTGGCCTAATCCACTCGATGGCGTCGTGGAATTACCCCGCAATGAAGTGCAGAAAAACGCGCTTCGCGAATCAATCCCCGCCTAAGGCATGTTTCCATATGGGACAAGCGGCTGGAAGAGTGTTCGGCGGCAGGAATTTGGGAACGATGGAGTAGTTTTTGAACTTTAAAGAGGGCTTTTAATTGGCTCAAGAGATGTTTGATTGCAAAGACAAAAAAGTTGCAGAAGAACTAAAATTGAAAGGAACAAAATTTTGCAGAACACGCTTGAAGGAGCGCCTGATTTGCAACGTCCAGGGATTGGTAACTAACCAATAAGGCTTGGAAGTAAAGTTCAAGTTCCTTTTTTTAACTTTTGAAGGATTAAAGCAGAATTTTGAACAGTTGAAAATTGCTTATAAGACTCGTGGGACGAAATATCAGACATTTTTGTTCACCCACGCACGTCAAACTGAGACAAGCTAACACAGTCCGGTGAACGGATTGGCAATTTGCCAAAAAAAAACGCTAAAAAACGTTTTGTCGGGGAAGAAATGGGGAATTTTTGCGGCTAGAGAGTACGTTTTTTCATGTCTTTTTTCTCTCTTTCTCTGCGAAATCAAGACGAAGTGTAAAAAACTGATAGCGAAGGATATATTCCCTCAGTTTGACGTTCCACGCCCTTGAGACGAATCAGAAACAGCCTTAAAACTATCGAAAATGCATTTTAAAATCTAATTGATTATCAGTCTGTCGGGAAATTAATGATGACAATGTTGGCACGTCAATCCCGTCGCTGAAGTGAAAAGCAACTTGATTTTGTCGCGACACAATTCATTTTTTTGATGCGAGTTTCGCCACGACTGAGTGCCCATTATTTTCCCGACAGGCCGATATTTCGAGCTTCCAATTGTTTTCGCTTTGCAAAAGATTGCAGAAAACCATTGGGAAGCTGTCAACATGTTCCTATTACCGGAAACTCTCAGCAATTCGTCAGGTTTCCGCTATTTCCTCGGAGAGGAAAGGGATGACTGTTTCGGACTCGATTTTCAAACGGTTTAAGGAAAAACATGCTCATGTTATAGTTATTGCAAGAACGGTAAATTGTGGGCCCATACTTGCGGGCAACCACTTTGCGGGCAGCCAGAAAAACCATTGAGATTCCGCGGCCATACTTGAAAATCAGCCAAGACTTGCTTACATCAGGAAATCAGACGATCGATTTGGCGGTTAGATGTCGCAAATTAAGCTTCCTGATGTATACAGTAGCTGCCAAAAAACTGTCAATTTTTTTGTTCTTTGTGTAACTCTGCTCAACGTGGACGGATTTTAACGAAACAAATACCATTCTGTAGATAATTATCACTGTTATCTAATGGTGTAGCGGTTGGAGGGATTTTACATCTTAATGTGTAACAACTGTCGATGTAAAATTTTTGGAAAGACAAAAAACTGTCAATTTTTCCAAAAAAATTTACCGCTTGCATACGTTGCGGCAAATCTTAGGCTTATACATTCCGATTTTTAAATAAAGTCCCACTGTACATAATTAACCATCAAAGGGAGCCAAGAAAGTTAATTTAGTAGACCTTTTGGTGGTCCCAAGTTCGATGCCCCAAAACATGACGTTTAAGAAAAAATCGATTTTTTTCTTTGACTTAGCGTTAATGAAATGCCTTGCAGTAGAAGCTAGACAACCTACAATTAAAATAGAACAATGATTGGGAGCCTAAATGTAAGTCTACGGACTCCACTTGACATTCAAGTTTCTCCGGTAATCGAGTTTCTGTAGAGACTTGGCCTTGTTGCCCCCGCCTTTGTAACAGCTTGCTAATGTTTTATCAATACATGATCACAGATGTTCTAGAAGCATTTTATGGGAATTTGTAGGACGGCGATGCAAGTCACATAAGAATTACGAAGGGTTATGTTGCCATTAACAAAAAAAAATTTTTGTGGAAACTTGCAGGCCAGCTTAAGACTTTAGAAACACGTTAGAGGGAGTGAAATCGCGTTAAAAATGTCAGGAATGGCTGTAAATGTATGGGACAACATCTTGCTTGTCCTTGCGCTGGGTTATTTCCATCCTATGGAGAGTGAAAATCGAGACAACAATTTTTCTTCAAAAATTCCATTTAGGAGCTTGTTCTTTTATGCGCAAAGTACGGGCCCGGCGCGGTAGCGGTTCCAAACTGTTCACTGTTAACATGGGCGCCTTCTGTCGCGTTGGAACTACGATTAGAGGTGTCTACGGAAGCACCCGGGCTGAAGTTCCACGGTACATCTACTGCCAGAAAAACTTGAATGTCAAGTGGAGTCCGTAGACTTACATTTAGGCTCCCAATCATTGTTCTATTTTAACTGTAGGTTGTCTAGCTTCTACTGCAAGGCATTTCATTAACGCTAAGTCAAAGAAAAAAATCGATTTTTTCTTAAACGTCATGTTTTGGGGCATCGAACTTGGGACCACCAAAAGGTCTACTAAATTAACTTTCTTGGCTCCCTTTGATGGTTAATTATGTACAGTGGGACTTTATTTAAAAATCGGAATGTATAAGCCTAAGATTTGCCGCAACGTATGCAAGCGGTAAAATTCTTTTGGAAAAATTGACAGTTTTTTGTCTTTCCAAAAATTTTACATCGACAGTTGTTACACATTAAGATGTAAAATCCCTCCAACCGCTACACCATTAGATAACAGTGATAATTATCTACAGAATGGTATTTGTTTCGTTAAAATCCGTCCACGTTGAGCAGAGTTACACAAAGAACAAAAAAATTGACAGTTTTTTGGCAGCTACTGTAGGTCGCTTGAATAGTCACCATAAACTTAACCCCAGGCCCCATGGAAGGTTTTGCAAGGATTTTTCGAATAAAACGTCCATAATGTTGATAGTAATGGATGAATTCGATAGATCTGTGTACTTAGCAGTACCAGGGAGTTATCAATGTAAAATTTCTATCATACAACGTACATAGATTACGGTAGAAACGTCGTAACTCTAATCAGCAAATGTCGGCTGCGCGCCGAAACCCCGCGCCAAATCCCTATGCGCGCCGTCGCAAAGTGATGATGGGTGCGACAAATCCTCATTATTTTCACGACAGATTGATACACTGTGAGAAACAAAAGGTTCAAAACGTCGGTCAATTAGGAAAAGCGTCTAAAAAGTTATGGGATTTTTCTGCGACTTACCGCCTTTTTTCTTCAAAAAAGAAAAAAGCGCACGATGCAAAAGTGATGGGACTTCATGGCGCGACTAGTATTTATGCTAACCGAGCATTTTCGATAGCACAAAAAGGCAATTCTGCCCAACGCATCAGAAAACAATCCCATTCAAATTAAAAAAATGAAATATAAAAGAGTCTAGGTCAACTCGAGGCGGCTTTATCACGTCAAGTTTTCGGTGTTGGGACTCTAATCCCTACTTTACGGGAAAATTTATGTTTCTGTAATACGTCGCCAATAATAGACGAGGGAAGTGTTGTTTTCGGTGGTCATGGGATCATGACTTCTCAGAATGTAACATGGCGTAGGTTTCGGAATTTTTGGCTATTTATGGCGCAGTATCAAAAAAAAAGAAAAAAGAAATACGATTTTTTTCAAGGGTTTGCAAAAAAAAAGATAAAGATAAAAATAAAAATAAATTTGTCATAAGTTAGCGTCTATATAGGAGTCCTTCCGGAATGTCGCCGGACTGATTTCTGGCGTTTGCACTGTGCAAAGGAAAGTCAGAGCGACAGACGAAAAAAGCTTATTGCACGGTGCAAAAAGCAAGAAATTGCACAGTGAGAAGAAAACTGGTTTTCGCACAGTGCATGTCGCCGATTTCAGTCCGGCGACTTTCTGGAAGGACTGCAGCATAAGGCACACGACTTTTTGGCCCGCCTATCAGTCTGTCGGGAAAATAATGTGGATCTGCTGTGTCTTACAAACCTGTGGCATACTACTAGGCGGGCCAAAAAGTCTTGACATGTCTGCACAGTGCGCTGTGGTGCAAACAACTTGTCGTGCGGCGATAAGCAAAATTCACGGTGCGGTGCAACCCCGCACAGTGCAAAAAAATTGTTTTGAAAGGGGCAAACAACGTACAGTGCGCTCTTCATTCACACACATGGAGTGCTTCTCCTCAACAAACCCCTTCTTTTAGCTTCGTCCTTCCTTACTCTCCGCGATGACTCGCCTTCATAGAGACCTTTTTCGACATATTCGAGACTGTCATGCAAAAATCTTACAAAAACTTTACCATTAAAAACTCCGTTAAACCCTCCAAAACCCAAAGATGAATGACGCGAACCGCAGGACCAGAACCCCGAAATACACATCTTCCAGCAAACATATGGCCGATCAGAAGGAATTATGAAAAATTATCTCCAAAGCAGATGATTCCCCTTCTCGAGGAGCCCATTGCTCAAAGACAACAATTTTTCAAATGCAACACATTACTGTATGTGGAGCGGGGAATGCCGAGTGTTTGCTATGTTTGCCAAGGTGTCAATTTGCACACGCCGTTTTCAGACAATTTTTTTGGGGATAGGGGAAGCAGCCTAAGGGCATTGAGCACATTTCACAAAATACAGTGGCTTGGGGGAGTGACGGAAGCCGGAAAGAACATTGGACTCAATATTTGGCCAGTTTTGATGTCTTATTTTTAGCTGTGTTTTGTGAGTTACGGGGGTATTCTTGGAAAAGAAAATACGCAAAAAAGTGTATATACAGGGTGTTTCAAGAAATTTGGAACAAATGACTTGCTTATATCTTTTTGTTCTTTGAAGCTATCAACGAATTTCTTTTTGCTTCTAAAAATTGACAGCGTGCGTTTTTAGAATCTCAAAAAAAATTTTTTTTCGTCGGCGGAGGGCTCATTTCTCGGCGGAGAAAATTAGGGCCTTTTTTAAAAATCACAGCGTATTACGTGGCGGAAACGCCGTTGCAACGGCTGAAATCAAGTTTACGTAATACCTCCATCGATTTTACGGTATGCATTTTTTGCGTTTTCGATTTTACGCACTTCCGCGGATGCGCGGCGGAGACCTCAGATTTCGGCGGACGTCGTTTTGGGCCTTCGGCTTTTGCAATTCATGTTGGAAAAGGAGGTTTGGGTGATTTTTTGTTGTCATCCGATGCACAGATGGCAAAAATTTCGTGCTTTTTATCCCCGGCGGAGGAGTCGGCG